AGATGCACATGTGCTTGGCATCTTCAATTACCTAAATTGTTTATATACATGTAAGTAATGGTTTTTATATAATTTTTTTTTTTTTTTTTTAAAAAAAAAACTTATTTACCTCTCTTAAGCGTGATTTTTGAGCTGCAAAGTCAGGTTGAGCTAAAAGAATATTCGAAGCACAACAGTTTGTGTTGTTTGGATCAGGCTTATTTTTTTTACAATTATTACACTTTTTTAAAAGGCCTGGTATCCATAAATTTCGTTCTTTAAGAACTTGTTTAATTCTCTTAGGTCTTAATACACTATTACTATCTTCATAGTTCATTATATGCACAGAACTATTAGGCTTTGTACCATTACGCCGAGGTTTTTTATCTTCACCTTTTCTATTTTTACCACCATCTCCCATGTTCATTTCTGAGACCAAAAGGGCATCTTCAGCATAAGCACCATGTTTGCTACTATTATTAAACATGAATAGAGCTATCTTGCCAGGATGTGTTCGTTCAAATATCGGGATGACATGATTAACTACCTGATTAACTAAGTTATCACCTGACCACCAACCATCACGATTTATACCCGGATAGATAGCAACACACACATGGGTATATTTAAGATGCATGTAATCAGGAAGTAAGTTATTTATATAACTTTCGTGTTCTGAAAGTTTGAGACGCCCGATAGATTCACAGAAAAAATCACTAATGTGAATACTTTGACCCTGTGATTAGGAATAGGAATAAAAAATTAGTCAACAAACTAAAATATTATACGTATAATTAATTAGCTGATTGATAATATTTGGTCAACTGATTAGTCGACTAAAGAATGTAAGTTATTCTGATTCTTACTAGTGATTTTTTCCGTAGACTATATTCACCCGCCGGGCCCCAATACTCCTTCATACCATCATTTGCGTAAAGAGTGGTCTCATTTTGGGTGACAAGAACTATTTTAGGATAAAGTTCCGGAGGGATAATATGGTCTAAATTTTCACCTACATATTGGGCCATTTGTTTTCTTAACCTAGCCATCTCTTGCAGAAAATGATTTCTGTCTTCTACTACATCTTCACGTTCGTGACCGTCAAAATAAATTTTTTTTGTATGGGTTTGGTATTTCTACCCAAGTAATTTTAGCCATCGGTGTGCAGTTGACCTACTAATAATTTTACTTGTAATTCCAAAAGTAGGCATAATACTACTAACGTATCTTATAAAATTTGGAATAGCTAATTTAAATTTATTTTCTCCAAATACTGATTTATTTGAAGCCGAAAGCTTTTATTATATATTAAAGATTTCATTTTTATATGTCGGCCATGTTTCGACTTTATTAATTCTTTGCAATTCTTCCATTGATTTGCCCAGACACGAATACACCATGCATACCATGGGCCTTTACGTAAACTCTCGGCCAGAAGGTTACTCACCTCCATATTTGTACGCCCTTTCTGGACAAGATAGAGAAATTGTCTTGTTGTATTAAAACGTAAATCAACAGTTTCTGTTTTCAATTGTGTGTTTAGTGATGATAATATAGAATTATCATTACTAGCACTACTGTCAAAGGTCTTATTAGATGAACTATCAACTGTAGGCTGATTTTGGTTGATATTATCAAGTACTATAGGTTCATTAGAAGCAGCATTAGTCGATTTAACGTGGTGTGAGGAAGATTTATTTTTCCAATACGTGGTAATGGCTTTTCGGAACTGTCTTGTGTGTTTATTTTGTTTTGGCATTTTTATTTTTATTTTATTTTGGTATTAAATTATAAGTTTCGTTGAGGTATGTATATGCATTGAAAAGTTAAATAAAATATAATCTGATTAAGTCTTCTTACATGTATATTTATAACTGATACATATCATTGATATTGTCTAGGGAATCAATCAATCTTGATTATACGTACATTTGTCAATTACATATTCGGACGAAACTTACCTAAAAGCAGTTTCAGGTGCATACTACCTTATCTTTGTATAATAACACCCACCTGCACGTTATCTTGAGTATTTCAAGTACGATATTTTGAGTTAAAGGCTGATCATTCGATATAAGAAGATATTTACAATTGGCTAATGTATACTAATCCAAACATGCATGTTATTTAAGCTGCGTATAAGCATTACTTCGAAGCTGTGCATGTTATTTCAAGTTATACGATTTTCAAAATAATGCTCATGGGTGTTATTATACAAAAATCTGGTATGATTTGCTTGGACATTGTCCATTAGGCCAGTGGATTGGCCAACTCTGCACGCCAATATTGGACTACATCATAACAGGTCATAGTCCAGCACTGGCTTCAATGAAGTCTGCAAATGAGGCCAATAGAGCTCTGCATGGAATCAATTATTGGTTCCATTCAGAGCTTTATTGGCTCCATTTGCGGACTCCATTGAAGCAATGAAAAATTTAATTATGCAAAAAAATTTTTTTAAACCCTTTAGTAGACCCGGGTCTACATAGTACTCGCCCAGAGGTTATATCATGAAAAGAAAAAATTCAAAGTGCATACACGCTTTGTATTTATATTAGACATTCTAATTCTTTGAAAAAAACCGCATTTGTGCTTATAGGAGTGCATTTGCCTGATTGGTAATTCAAATTGAAATAACAGTAGTATTCACTATGCAAAATAACTGCCAGTCACATCTACAATATTGCTAATGCGTAGATCTAGGGCACCTTAGCCAAGCGATCAAACTGTGTTGAAAGTAGAGTTATTAATGGAGTACTCCAGGGTTATAATAAAACATATAACCCACTCCGGAGTAGTTTTTATAACTCTGGAGTACTTCATTAACAACCTTGATTAAAAAGTGTTTGTAATTAAATTTTAATCAGGGGAAAACAGATTTACTGATCAAACATACTTAATATCAAGATAAATAAGATACGAGATACATAGTTTTTTTCATCAAAGAAATATTATATTGTTACAATGAAAATCTGCACTATGTTTTGCATCATTTCTATAAATCAAACGAAATATCTTTGAGTAGGTTGCCACATAAGATTATGAAAACTTCTTAAATGCCCCATTATCAGCGTATTTAAATATCAAGAGTATCTCTTTTTTACTGGAAGAACTTGTAGCTGCTAGTAAGTGATTTAGTAGGTTAAGTTAGTTTATGCTAGATTTGTCATGTTTTGTGTGTGATTTACTGTAAAAAAAATTTGATACCTGTGCTTACAGATACCTGGAACCAAGACCGGGAAGAATTCGTAGCCGCTGGTAAGTGATTTAAATAGTGTTAAATTAGTTTTGTATTGGATTAGTACTTGTTATTGGTCATGTTGTTGATGATAACT